CAAACTCATCTGTTTTTGTTCAAACTCCCTTGTTTTTTTCTTCTTCTAAGTCACCAACTCGCTGTCCTTTCATGTCCCTCTTTATTCACAGAAACGAAAAGAAGTTGCTGACAACAACAAAAATGTTACACAGAATGAGGTCAGGTGAGTCAGGTGTGTGGGACAAGAGAGGCGTGAGGTTCTGTGCCCAGAACTGGCACACAGAGATGGCTACGTGAGGAGGTGCATTGTCATGATGCCCAAACCAGTCCCCCATCTGCCACAAATCAGGCCTTTTTTGTCACAACCATCATGTTATCTTTTCAGAACCTCTAAATAGAAAGCTTGATTAACAGACTGACCTGGTGGAATGAACTCCAAATGCACTAGGAGTCAACATTTTTGTCCATTGGGGAAGTTGATGGACATCAAGAATGAGGTTTGTCATCTGAGGTAGGTAGTTTATTGTGCCAACCTGGCCGATAAACACATGTGGGATTAATTGAAGGGCAGAGAGATAAATGGTTCAGCGAGCCTCACCTTTCTTGTCTCTTGCTCTTTGATCATCAGACCAGTGTGCGGCTGCCTTGCTTTTTCCGTGCCTTAATTTGCAAGCTACACTACCTGTGGGACACCTAACCCACGGACTGTGTCGCTGTAATTTGAGGTTCCTTCAAGACCTGCTTCACCACACCATTGGAATTTACGTCTCTTGAGCTGGGGACTGTCAGACCCTGTCATCTGGCTGACTGTTGGTGACCTGCCTTGCTGTTTGCTGCCTGTGCCCAGATAGCCTGAATTGCTCTACAGAGGACCACCCAGTGGCCCTCAAGACTTGAAGGACTGCCAGTGTCTTACAGCTGTCTCACAGGAGGGAGTTGCACTGAGCTATTTGTACTGCTTTATACTTTAATTAACTGTTTATTTCTTATGTTATACATCTATCTGTAAAAATATATAATTATTAGCATTCTGATTTTGTCTCTCTAGAGAATCCTGTCTAACATATCATCAATCAACATTTCACCTTTTTTGAAATGAGAAAACCACTCACACACGTGAGTTTTTCCTTGTAAGCTGTATTCAACATTGCAACAGTTTCTGTGGCATTTGTCCTGAGCAGGAGGCAAAATGCTGTTCTCTTAAATTGGCCATCACAAAAAACGAGGTTCGAGTGAAACTGCTTTCATGAAAAAAGTTACTGTGACCAGAGAGAACCTTCCCAGGCGACACCACTGGGTGCACTAACTCAGAGCAAGTTGCTGGTTGATCGCCTCGCGGGAAAAATGCGTACTATGAAAGCTCCTCCGAGGAGAGCTTTTTACCCCACACACACACACACTGTATACATGGGACAACAGATGTCTGTGGCCAGGTGTTGTCTGGAGGTTAAACAACGCACACCTCTCTAGACATGTGTGTGCACTTGCTGGAACATGGTACTATCATGGTGTTCATGAAACAAGTCGTTTCTATGAATTCAGTTGTTTTGTGTCGTGGGTGGCTGCCTTGCAGTGGTCCCTCCTCCCTAAGAACAGTTCCCCAGTTGCCCGCCCAGTGTACAGTGGGTGGGAGTGTCTGCTCTCCCCTGCAGGAGGGGCTCTCGCGGAGGGCAAAGGCAGTGTCTCACTCGCTGAGTTACCGCATGCTGCTGTAACACAAGTACCCAAAACAGTGGCTTTGTTTCACAAAACAGGGTTCTGAGGCATTGAGGGGAAGGAAGGCTTTCTCTGTCGCTGACAGCCCTGAAGGAAGATCCCTGTTGTTGTTTTATAACGCTGCTCCTGGCCGGTCTTCATATGTGGCTGGGCAGCTCACGTCCCCTGTCTCTGCTTGCTCACATGTGGCCATCTCAGAAGAGATTGCCCTCACACACAGCCCTACACCAACGCTGTCACACCCAACAAGCACAACCCATTCTCAGAAGGGATGCTATCCACAGGTAGAGGCGTCAGGATTCGCACCATGTATTTGGGGGAGGGGAGCGCACAATTCAACCCAAACACTCATCTGTGTGTTCCCCACCCTGAACCGGCCACAAAGCAGGCGCCCAATGAATGACACTGAGGCTCGCGCCCTTGCTAATAAAGGCAGGAACTGTGTCTTCTTCCCCCTCTGGGAACTCTCCCCTGGAACAAGCAGCGGTTGCTGAATGATGCAGGCCCTCTTTCTCCAGCCCATCGCCAAAGCAGAAGGCGCGTGGCCCTGCCCACTCCACCAGGCGTCCTGTGAGAGGCCAGCCCAGATGTTTCCTCCCTGCAGATGATGTGTGGGTCGAAGGTCCGGTGAGCCATGGTGGCTGGCGTCTTTCCCACTTTTGAACCTGGGCAGAAGTCTACATCCTGAGCAGCAAACAGCTGGCGAGCGAAACTGAGATGGCCAAAAGAAACTGCTCGTTGCCACCCTCACCCCCCATTTCTAATGGCATCCGGGTGACATGTCATACTTGCCAGACCCTAGATAGCCTCTGAGGATCCTGAGAACCTTCCCTCCAAACCTAGAAACCCACTCACTGCCGTCCTCCATTCTGCCTGATAGGCCCTCTGGACAGAGAGAGCAGCGCCCCATTGTGTGTGCAAGGCTGTCCCTCTTCATGGACGCAGACTGCTGCATCTTTCTCCTGCAGAGTGGCTGGTGGGTTCAAATCACAGACCTCTTGACTAACAGAGAAGCACTGAGACACTTGCCCACAGGTCTCCAGGGGGCTTCCGCTGGACCTGGGCAGATCGAGAAGTCTGGCCACCCTCAAGCGACTTTCTTCCTCTCTCTGGACTCATTTTTCCTTACTCTTCTCAATAGGGCTGAGGAACGCTCGTGGCATAGCGTTTACGCTTGGGGCTCTGTGGTAGTTACATTATCTGGTGTCAATTTGGGACTTGAGAGGATTAAGAGTAAAGGGGTGGAGTCTGGCTTGTCAATCAAGATATAACCAATGAGGGCTCTGTGTGTGATGGCCTTTTCCTGAGAATTCTGGGAAATCTGGTTTTTCCTCCTTGGAAGTGGAAAACCTCACTCTTTCCGTTCCCTCCCTTGGAGACTCACTACCGACAAGGCTGATTCCCTGCGAGACATCCCTGAGGAGAAGCTCCACGGACCTACCCTGATGCAGCCCTGGAAGCTGGAGAAGCCATGTGGAGACCCCTGCCAGCGCTGAGATGCTTACAACGCCACTGGATCCAAAGACTTTCTACCCACCGGCCTGTGATCGTCCTGCATTCGGCATCATTGCTTGTGTTTCATGAGTCTGAAGAGGACTTTATAGATAGGTATCAGACAAGGCTAATATCAGACTTATGGGCTTGGACTGGACTGGACTGGGTTGGGATGCTTTCTTAATGTACAATTACCCTTTATAGAAAACTCTCTCTTATACACATATGAGTTTCTGTGGATTTGTTTCTCTAGTCTGCCCAGACCAATACAGGCTGCTAACCTCAAGGTCCACAGTTTGAAACCACCAGCTACTCCGTGGGAGAAAGATGGGGCTTTCTACTCCTGTAAAGACTTGCAGTTGGGGAAACTCACTGGGGCAGTTCTACCCTGTCCTATAGGGTCCCTATGAGCAGATGGCAGCAAGTGTGGTTTTGGGATTTTCGGTCTCTGTAGGGTTGGATCTGGTTTTGTCTCTCTGTGAGATCTAGGATTGTGGAAATGGGCTGTGGAGAGAGGTGAGCCAAAAAAGGATGATCGACACAGAGCAGGTCTTTATTCTGCAAGGTCTTTATTCCTTTGGGAGGGATACAGTGGTACCGACATCCAGGTTCTGCTTCTAGTTGTTTTCCATAGTCTGGAAGACAAGGAGGGAGTTAGAACAGGCTACAGAACAGACTGCTGTGTAGTGAGGAGCCTGACGCACTGGGTTCAAATCCTGGCCCTGCCACTTACTAACTGTGTGATCCTGGCCTCTCTGAACCTCCCTTTCCTCGTGTAAAACAAGGTTCATAATTGTACTTACTCCCAGGGGGGTCTTTTGTTTATTTACTTATTATTGGGTGGGATCACATGTTTAATTTTGACTTTACTGCCAGAATTGGTAAATCCTTTTCTAGGTTTTTTTCCCTTCCAAATAATATTTCCTAAGTGAATTTCTCATCATGGAAATGTCTAATTTGGACACCAGCAAGCTACTGCTACGCAGGTTCATGAACAACAAAAATGAATGAATGGCCATTGGGTTCATGCTGACTCCTAGCGATCCCATAGGACAAAGTAGAACTGCTCCTGTGGGTTTCCGTGACACTAAATCTCTATGGAAGTAGACAGCCTCATCTCTCCCCTGTGGAGCAGCTGGTGGTTTCGAACTGCTGACCTTGTGCTTAGCAACAAAAACCAAGGTGCTTGTTAGAAGTCACTGGACCCCATGTTCTCTTTGTCCCCGTTTTTGGTGAAGGTGGGTTACATGATTCATGTCATTTATGTTATTGAAAATATACACAGAAACTTAGGGTGGCTCTTGAGTAGACCCAGTGGTTAGCAAAGGCACCCTTTCCAATGCCTGAAACACACCGAAGGGGAAGGGTCTGCGCATGGGGCCTCCTACTGTGGCCATGGACAATCTGAATCTTCGCTCTCCCCAGCCCCAGACTGGCTGCACCCTCACCAATGCTGGCTCCACCTCCCTGCCCACACTCTATTCTTAGAGCTTCTCCTTAGCCGGAGTCACTCTCTCCTCTGTGGCAAGAAGGGGAGGGCCCACCAGGGAGACGCTTCACCAACACATGGAAAGGAGGAAGCTCTTCGACAGCAGTTCAAAGCTCTACCCGGAAGCCAACCAAGTCCAAAACCATTCATGGCCATGGACTTGCATTCAACTGGTCAGTGACCTTGTAGGACAGATGCTGCTGGGTCTTCCCTCTCTAGATCTGCTCTTGGATGGCAGCCAAGTGCTTCACAACGGCACACCAGGGCTTCAACATCAAGGTGTGGGGGCCCCACTGCAGTGGCAAACAGCCCCAACCCCAGTGGACCCCCTCCAGTGACCACTCAGAAGCCTTTGCCCCCTCCTCGGGCTCCGAGGTTCTTCAGCCCTGGCCCCGGGGCCCTGCCCGGCTCCTCACCTCCGTGATCCAATCATTGAAGGCCGACACCCGGGTGAAGACGGTGGGCTTCTTGAGAGTGTTGCAGCCAAAGGCAGAAACAAAGCTGGTCACACCATGGACCTGCCAGCTGCCATCGGCACTGGGGCAGCTGAGGGGGCCTCCGGAGTCACCCTGCAGTGGTCAGACAGGGTGAAGGGCTAAGTCAGGGGGCTGAGGTTTAAGAAATTCCTCCCATCTCTGAGGAGCTCGAGAATCCTTTACTACTGGACTTCTGGGCTCCTTTGTGTTGGGAAATCTGTGTTTCTCCTGCAGGCTCTTGTGAAAATGAAATGAGACATTAGATGTAGGATCTTAGCCCAATGCCGTAGTCACTCACTCATTCACACTTACCCACTCACTCACTCACCCACTCACTCACTCACCCACTCACGCACTCACTCATCCACTCACTCATTCATCCACCCACTCACTCACCCATTCCCCCACTCACCCATTCCCTACTCACTCATTCACTCATTCACCCACTCACACACACTCACTCTCTCTCACACACACTCACACACTCACCCATTCCCCACTCACCCACTCACACACACACTTACACACTCACGCACACTCACTCACTGACCCACCCACCTTCTCACCCACACACCCACCCACACAATCACTCACTCTTTGCCATTGAGCCAATTCCAACTTCCAGCCACCCTATAGGACAGAGTAGGGCTACCCCTGTGGGTTTCTGAGACTGTCACTCTTTATGGGAGTAGAAAGTCTCTTCTTTCTCCTGAGGAACAGCTGGTGATTTTGAACTGCTGACCTTGCAGTTAGCAGCCCACTATTCCACCAAGGCTCCTTACTGCACAACATCTGGTAGCACTCAAAAAATGGTAGTTGCCATAATTAGTATCACCGTTAATTATTCATAATTTTGTTTATAAAATCAAAAAAGCACGTGGTTGTCGAGAAGATTCCAAGTCCTAGCATTTCTATAGGACAGAGTGGGTTACCCCAGAGGGTTTCCAAGGCTTAGCTGCACGGCCGCAGACTGCCACAGTTTCTCCTAGGGGGTGGCTGTGGATTTGAATTGCTACCTTTTGTTGAGCAACCATGTGCTTAACCACTGTGCCACCAGGGCTCATTACTGCTCATACACACTTGCTACACGATGATAGTCCGTTTCGTGTTTCAGTGTAACTACTAACCCACACAGCTAAAGGTGATTTCGGTCATGATGTCAGGCCCCTGTACTGTGCTGGACCGGGTAGTCTGAGGGCCAGGGAGGCACAGGACTTGACTTGGGTCAGGTCAGTGTTTGACCAGGGACACCGAGTTCCCTGGGCCAGGGCTCCTGCCTCCCCAGCCAGGCACTGTCCCTGGACCAGGCCTGTTTCCTCCAAGTCCCATGTGGTCCAGAAGTTGAATGAAGCAGAGGTTAGGCAGAGGCATCCCGGGCCGGGCCGGAGCCCTGGGCGTGGAGAGCTGACTCACGTTGCAGCCCGAGCGGATGTCCCCGCCGGCACACACCATGGTCTTCTTCACGGAGCTCCCCCACCAGTCCCACTTGGAGCAGTGCTCGTAGTCCACCACGGGCAGCAGGGCCTGCTGCAGCTTGTCCGGGAGCGGTCCACCAGCTGTGGGGACAGAGAGCGCTGAGCGGGGGCCCATCAGGGTGCAGGACCTAGGAGCCTCTGGCCTGCTGGTGACTCTCCTCCCAGCAAGTTACAGAAGGGGCCTGCTGGCTTCCTCAACCAAGGCATCCCCAGCTCCTGGGGCACGCACCCCCCAGGGCCTCCCAGCAGGCAGGACGCTGCTGACAAACTGAACAGATCCTGGGAGGGGGTGGGAGGAGGAAGGAGGGGAGGGGGTGGGGGAGGAGGCCGAGGCTGGGGGAAGTGCAAGGGCTGGTCCTGAGCTTGCCCTCAGCCCCTGGCCCCCAGGCCCTATCGTCCTGCCCGCGGTCCACGCGGTGCCGGCTGGAGGGGTCAGCACGTACTATAGAGACGGCCCCAGCCACTGATGTAGCAAGGGGCGTCATTGGGCAGGAGGTCGCCGGCGGGCGGCAGGCAGGCAAGCTGGACAGTGTCCCCCAGCTGGGCGCTCCGCGACAGCTTGATGAGTGCGATGTCATTCCTGGGGAGGACAGAAGAGTTGCGGGGCCTGGTCCTCCCACCACCCCAATTGCCCCTCCAGTTCCCACCCCAGCCGCTCTCAAGGCTGAGCAACTTTCAGGAGCCTTCCTGGCCAGTCCGTCCACATAAACCCGTGGCTTTCACCCTCTAGGTCCTCACACTGTCCATCATCACAGTCGCTGGGAGGGCTTTAGTACAGGGTGCTGGGACCACCCCAGAGTTTCTGATCAACTGGCTCTGCACTGAGGGCCCCCAAACGGTACATTTCCGGCAAGTTCCGTGGAGATGCTGATACTGTGTCCGGGGGCCACACTCCATGAACCACGTTGCGAGGGCTTCGCCCTCCTGCTGGTCGCTCAGACGATCTCATTGGGGTTGTTTTCCTCCACTTACCCTGGGAGCCCAGCGAGGATGGGCCAGGGTCTCCGTCCTTCCAGATTCTCACTCCTGAGCTGTATTGGGGGCTTCCGCCCCTTCTCGGACCCTCTCACATCCACCCACCATTGCACATCGATTTGAGGGGCGGCTTTCTCACCCAGTGATTGTCTTTTTGACCTGCATCATCCCCCAGTAAGCTCAGCTTCCAGGAAACCCTTTGACAGAGGGAAAACTGAGTCCCGGAGAAGGGGAGTGACTGGGGCAGGCAACACTGTGGGTAGGGCCTTAGCCAGACTCTCACTCCAGTATCCCTTCTCTGCTCACAGTGCCAAGATCCCAGGATGCACTGGGAGAATTCTGCCGAATAGAAGAACCCTTGGATTTGGCAGGGGGCTGGGGAGCAAGTGACCTTGACGGAGTTCCTGTCCCTCTGTGCCCTGCTGTTCCTTTTAGGGAGAGGTTTGGCGTGGGTGATCCTTAAGGCTCTGAATTAGGGGGGTGCGGGGCCTGGGTCTCCACACTGAGAATCACTCACCCACAGGCCACACAGTTGGGGTTCCAGAGGGGGTGCACAAAGAGGTCTTCGGCATTGATGGGGATCACCTGCTCGGGGCCTTCCTTCTGTCCCCGGTCATACTCGCCCAGCACCACCTGGTAGGTCATGGAGCTCCTGGCAGTGGAGGTGGACTCAGTCTGGGCTCCCCGCCCCGCCCCCCACCCCCTCGGTACTCCCGCCCCATTCTGCCTTGGGGCCTCGCAGGGACAAGGACTCACGAGACGCAGTGGCCAGCAGTCATGACCCAGTCGGGGGCAATGAGGCTGCCTCCACAGGTGTGATGGAAGGCCCCATTCTTCTCATACTGCAGGGAGATCTGGGGGCAGGAGAGGAAGGGCCTGAGCAGTCTGGGCCCCACAGAAAGGGCTGCCACCAGTGGTGGTCCAGGTTGCGCACTACACAACTCCAGGGGTGCCCTTCCCACAGAGCAGCGCGCCACCCTCTAGCAATGTGCAATGCCCAACCTGCACCACCGTTCAGGGTGGCGCTATCATTTCCCCCCTGTGAGCACGCAGACTCTGTGAGCAAGGGCCCTGCGGCCTCCCTGGGGGTCCTCGTATTCTCTGTATCCATAGGCATCCCCACACCTTCGGGCCCTGCGGCCTCCCTGGGGGTCCTCGTATTCTCTGTATCCACAGGCATCCCCACACCTTCTGTCTCTTGAGTCCTGTAATACCATCTTAACATCTGAGCCCCTCGAATGGCCTCTCTGGTCCCTCTGCTGCACAGCCTCCCAAGTCCTGGGCCTCACTCCTGACTTGGATACATCCAAATCGTAAACCCCCTCTAGTTCAAAGGCTAGCAAACTCCAGCTCTTAGGCTCAGTGTGGCCCATGGCGTTTTTTGGACCTAGAGACTTCCTGGAACTTGAACTCTCACACACTGGTGGAGCGGCTGTGGCTGCTTTGCCACCATGCTGGCAGAGTTGCACTGTTGCTCTAGAGATCACCTGGCTCACAAAACCCAAAATGCTTAGACTCGATGGCCCTTTACAGACAACACGCATCGACCCCTGCTCTGGACCAGTGCCATCCCGTTGAAACTTCTGTGATGATGGAGATGTTCTCTAGCTGTGCTGTGCTACGTGGTAACCACAGGCTAGACACAAGGAGCCTAGGATGGGGCAGTGGGCTGTTAACCACAAGGTCGGCAGTTCAAACCCATAACCCACTCAGAGAGAAAAAGATGAGGCTTTCTGCTCTCCTAAAGAGTTACAGCCTCAGAAACCCACGGGGACAGTCCCACTCTGTCCTCCAGCATCACATGAGTCAGCCTTGACTCAATGACAGTGAGTTTGAACTGAATTTGGCTACTGAGTGGCAGGTGCCGCTGAGGGACAGAGTTTTTAACGTCCTTGAGTTTAATTAATTTACATGTAAATAGCCGCACGTGTACGTGGGCAATGCGGCAAGCGTGGCTCCTCGGGGCCACCCTCTGTTGTCATTGTGGGTCGTTGAATTGATTCCAACTCAACGCGGCCCCCGCGGGTTTCCCAGGCTGGCATCCTTACAGGAGCAGATCATTTCTCTCTCGGGGTGTTGGGTGGGGGTCAAACCACCACCCTTAGAGGTAACAGCCGAGTCCCAGCCCCTTGGATCTTCCCCCACGGTTCTCTAAAAGCCCCTCACCCACTGTACTGCTCCCAGGCATTGCAGCCCTGTGGTATACTGTGAGGACTCCAGAAACGGGTGCCTGGAAATCTCTCTTTCTACTCACAGTGCCTGAGCAGCCGCCATTAGCGCACCAACCCCCTGGAGTTAAGCAGTGCCCTCCCCCAGATTCCACGAGTAAAACGCCAACAGCCCAATGGAGGTGGGAGATTGGATGGGCACAATCTCATGTGGGGCAGATCATCCAAAGGCTTCCAGGTCGCTGGCAGCCGACGTGGGAATTGGAAGGGAAGCAGGAGGTGAAGGCCGCTGCTTCTCACTCAGAGCTTGGGGCCGGGCGCCACGCCGTCCCCGCTGGGAACAACTGCAGCTGGCATTGCTCTTACCTGCCAGGGCCAGCTGTAGGGCACAGCGTCCTCACCATTGACCACTCGGGTGGAGGGGTGATAGACAGGTTTGCCGCAGCCCGAGGCTGGAGGGAGAGTGGGGGTGTTAGTCAGCCAGGGAGCCTCCCAAAGAAAACAGGAGACCTGGGTGCTAGTCCTAGCTGTGATACACACTGACTGGGTGACCCCAGGCAAGCTGGTCCCCATTCTGTGACCAGTGAATAGGGCTTCCCAGAGGCCTGGGGGTCCCTGGAGGAAGATACCAATGTGAGCTCCTGCGTGAGAGGATCGAAGCTGTTGAGACACTTGGAATGGCGTCTGGTGCCGTGGGTGGTGCTGAGAAAGGGCGGCCATTGTCAGCCTCTGGGGGAGTGTGTGGAGTGTCTAACACTCTAGCTGAACCTGGCAGAGGCAGTACCACCCCAAGGACTGCCCATCAAATAGTTGTGTCCCGTTTCAGCAGAAACTTAGTTTTCACCAAAAACACCCCTGCCATTAAGTATAACCACGAAAGCATTTTCCATACGTGCAGCCCACACGTGTCAAGAGCTACCCGAACGAAGCCAAACACACTGTCACCGAGACCATTGGGACTCTTAGCAACCCTGCAGGACAAGGTCGCGTGGACTCGGTGGGGTTCCTAGACTAACTCTTTCCAGCAGCGGACAGCCTCATCTTTCTCCCTCTGAGTGGCTGGTGGTTTTGAACTGACCTTTCAGTTAGCAGCCCGACAGAATTGGCGGTAAGGCGTATTAACATCCTGCAAAAATGCAGAAAATATCCAAAGCGACAATGATGCTAATTTGCTTGTTGACCCTTCTACTGCCCTCAGGTCAGAACTATCATTACTACCCAATCGTGGGGTTTCGTCTGCAATGCACTACGCCCATATGCTGCGGTTTTCTTGCTCCTGGGATTCACACAGTAGCTGATTTTGTCAGGTTTTCCGGTGTTGTAACTACCATCGAGTGGTAATTAACACTGTGAATCCATGACGATAACCTTTTTGAAAATGAAGCAGTAATCAAAGAAAAATTTAAAAAACCAAACACAGCCATCAGGTCGAAGCCAACTCATCGCACATCTATAGGTCGGGTAGACCGCCCCTGTGAGCGGCCCAGACTGTAACGCTACCGGAGGAGAAAGACCCATCTTTCTCTGTAGACTCGGTTCGCTGCCTCACTGGGGAACCCCATTACGGCCCTCTGAGGTTCCATTATTCTCCTGAGCCGGCCCACCCAGGCCTCCACACCATTCTCCTGCCCCAGTGCTGCGAGCCCCCTCAATCCTGCTCCAGGTACAAGCTGAGACCGCTTGTCAACCAGGTGTTAGGTGGCACAGGGCCCGGGTTCTAGGGGCTCCTGGCCCAGCACAGAACGAGAACCCAGGCGATGTTTGCAGATGAGCACAGATCCCCTGCCGGGCTAAGAAGCCTGTGTTGCCTTACATGGGATTTGAACTTCTGGTCAAGATTTTGTTACAGGTTAGAAAACAGATGTCCCTCTCTGTGGTGAGTCCTTACCAAGAAAACCACGCTTATTTAGAAAACAAATATCCCCCAAACAGAAAAATTAGGCGACGGCTATGAACGGGTCTCTCAAAGACAAAGGGCAAAAAGGTAAGGCACATATGACAGAGTAATCTAAGACCGGCAAATAAATAGCATTAAAACTATTTTCACCTATCAAACTCGGGGGGGAGGGCAGTGTAAAAGAACACAGGCAAAGCTGGGGTCTTACCAAGGGCCACAAGCAGGAGGGAACTTAGCAGTCGCAGCATGGTGAGTGTTGGGACAATGGGAAGGGGACATGGAGCCTGGGGTGCTGATATAGGGAGGGAGGCAGGTGGGAACTGCTGTCCTGGCCCTCGTTCCTGGAACAGGTGGTGGAACACCAAGTCTCCCAGGGTCCAAGGTCATGGCCTCCACCCACTGCAGCTGGAAGAATGATAGGCCATGGAAGGACCTGGCATCTCCTCCGACCTGCAGCCTCACAGGTGGCCCTGAATGGCTAGCTGATAACAGGGGAAGGGCAAGGAAAATTCACGTCGGAGCAATCCAGTCTCTCCCAGGAAAGAGCACGGGCTCACCAACGGGTTAGACTTGGGTTCAGGTCCTGGCTCTGCCTCATGACTTAACCTCTCTGACCTCAGGTTTCTTGTCTCTACTCTGGGATCAATTCTGGTACCGACTTCAGTTAAAAAATGTTAAGCACTTTCTACCAGGATGTGGGGACACAGGCATGACCATAGGATCCAGCAATCCCTCTGCTGGGTACGTGCCCAAAGGAGGAGGAGTCCCAGCATGCAGAGAGGACATCTGCAGACCCATGCTCAGTGCAGCACCGCCCACAGTCACACAGCGGTTCTCAACCTGTGGTTTGCGACCCCTTTGGGAGTCGAATGACCCTTTCACAGGGGTCACTCGATTCATAACAGTAGCAAAATGACAGCTATGAAGTAGCAACGAAAATAATTTTATGGTGGGGGGGTTCACCACACCATGAAGAACTGTATGAAAGGGTCGCGGCATTAGGAAGGTTGAGAATCTCTGTAACAGCAGGAAGATGGAAACCACCTGAAGGCCCATCAGTGGGAGAATGGATAAAGAAACTCTGGCATGGACACAGGAGCCCTGGTGGGGCAGTGGTTATGAGTTGGGCTGTGCACCGCCAGGTCAGCAGTTCGAGACTACCTGTGGCTCTAGGGAAGAAAGATGAGGTTTTCTACTCTTGTCAAAAGTTAGTCTCTGAGGAAGGGGTGGGGAGGGAAAAAAATGAGGAGCTGATACCAAGGGCTCAAGTAGAAAGAAACTGTATCGAAAATGATGATGGCAACATCTGTACACATGTGCTCGACAAATAGATGTATGTATGGATTGTGATTAGAGCTGCACGAGCCCCAAATAAAATGATTGTTTTTAAAAAGTTAGTCTCTGAAACCCACAAGGGCAGTTCTACTCTGTCCCATGGGCTGCTACGAGTCAGAATGGAACTGGTGGCAGTGAGTCTGATTTTTGAGTTTGGTCCATACGCACCATGGACCACTACGCATCACTCAAAAGCAATGACACATCACAAAGCAGCTCATGGAGGAGATGGACCTAGAGGACATGACGGTGAGTGAAATTCGTCAATCGCAGAAGGACAAATATCACATGACACCACTGTTATACGGGAGGCACCACATGGTAAAGACTTTGGTGCAGAAGCAGTGAGCTAGACAGTGGCTGGGTGGTAACTCGGGCGAAGTGGCAGCTAGGAGTCCACTAGAGGGAAGAGTAGAGGGGACGGAGGAGAGTGAAGGGTCAGCTGTTGGGAGATTGCATGAGTAGTCTGAACTGCTGAATACGAAGCTGATGATCTGAAATGTAAACCCCCACCTAATTCACAAGCCAAAATTATAAAATAAAAAATTCAATATCTGATGCACACACACATATATGTAACTACCACCAGTCAAGATATGAAACTTTTGAGTGAAAGATGGTTCTTCCGGCCTCATTGTACTCTGACCCCTCCACCCTCACACCTGGCAGCTCGTCACCTGCTTTCTGCCTTCAGAGTTTTGTCTGATCTGGAACCTCACCCAAAAGGAGTCATCTCGTAGCCTCTGTGTTTTGTTCCTGGTCGTCCTTTATTCAGCATAAGATTTCTGAGATTTGTCCCTGTTGTGTTAGATATTTGAAGGTGCTGACTACATTATCTGGCATCCAGGTGGTGCACGCGGTGAAAGCCCTTGTCTGCTAACCAAAAGGTTGGCAGTTAAGTCTACTTAGAGGCACCTCAGAAGAGAAGTCTGGTGATCTACTTCCAAAAAACAAAGAGCAGCCAGAGGGAGCTACTCTGAGTTGGAGCTGACTCTGGGTCGATAGTTTAACGTAAGCTCTAACTCAATAAAAGGTCCCCAGCCACTCCCCACCACCAGGATCCCTAATGTCCCGAGTGAAACAGAAAGTGGTGGCCGAGATACAAAGAAACTTAAGAAATTGTAACCCTCATCCATTGCTGGTGGGACTGTAAAATGGTGCTTGGTTCCTCAAAAAGTTGCACGTAGAATTCCTCTTTGCAATTCCACTCCTGGACACATCTCACAGCTTCCCGGATTTATTTGATCTAGTGCCCCCTTTTCAGAAAAAAGAAACCACTCAGTGCCCTCCTGCCATTTAAAAGCTTTGTACTGTAGTCCATAATGGTGGATAAAGTGCATGTATCTGCTTTTGCAGCCCCCCACCACCGCCCCTAGTCATTCCAGCACCCCCTAAGGGGGCTGTATCACCTACTTTGGGAACCTGATATGTACCCAAAAGGTCTGATAGCAGGGGATCAAACCAACATTGGTGTCCCAGGTTCATTGCAGCACCACTGAGAACAAGCACAAGGTGGAAATGATCCGAGTGTCCCCAACAGATGAATGGTGAAACACAATATGGATGTGCCAAACAAGCTCACGGCCATGAGTCATCTCTGACTCAGAGCAGCCCTTCAGGGCAGAGCCGAACTGACCCTTTGCATGTCCAAGGCTGTAAATCTTCCTGGGAGCCGACAGCCTCCTCTGCCTCCCAGCAAGAGGCTCGTAACTCTATCCGTAATGGTGTATCATTCAGTCATAAAGAGAAATTAAGTGCAGGCCTCCTCTGGGACATCGTGACATCGGAAGCCTTATGCTGTGTGAACTTAGTCAGACACAAAAGGACAAAGACTGTCGGAACCCACCTATCTGAAATACGAGGGACTTCAAGAAGGGTGTGGGGAAAGATAAAGGAATTTAAAGAGAATGAGCTTGTTTCATGAACTTTTGGAAGGCCTCTGGTACTTAGACTAAGCAAGGGATTGGCAGGAAAGGGGGAATGTTATTTAAGGGGTGCTAGGTTCCTGTTTAGGGAGATGAAAAGCATTTGAAAATTACAACGTGGTGAATGTAATTCCTGTCATGGCATTTTACACTTTAAAAATGGCAGATGTTTTATTATGTGTATTTTACAATGATAAACTAAAACAAATACATAAATGTCTCCTGAGCAGACTGATGACGTTGGGACCATGGATGATTGATGATGATTATTAGCCGAATTCCATGACTGAAGTTCAAATAAGAGAGGTGAGTGAGGACCAGATCCCATAGGGCCTTGAAACCCAATAGAACCCAAACCTGTGGCTGTCAAGTCCATACAGACTCATAACAAGCCCACAGGACAGAGCAGAGAGGCCCTTTATTCTAAGTGAAAAGAGAAGCTATTGGTGGGTGGGAAAATGGCTAAGCGTTAAGTAGGAGAGAGACAGGAGGCTTCATTTATGAATTAAGCATCCCTCAGGCTGCTGCCTAGAAAATGGATTACAGTTCTGAGGGTGAGGGTGTGGTGCAGTGAATGACTTGCATTGGGCTTTTTTCACCATGGTCGTATGAGTCCTACAAAATGATTGGATGGAACTAGGCACATAAGGTGCTTGTGACCTACTGAGTGGACCCAGAGTTTCTGTATATGCAAATTAGGTACCTGGAACCCCTGTGGGGATGGGGCCAGATGAATAAGGTGTAAAGTAAAGAACCCTAATGAGGGGATTGGTTTGCTTTACCACCTCACTTGCCTTAAAAGAGAGCCAATCCCAGAGCAGAGAGGAAGGATCTCACTACCACCTAGAAAGCATAGCCGGGAAGGGAGCACAGTTTTTGGACTCAGGGTTCCTGTGATGGCCCCTCCTAGATCCAGGAGACAGAGAGAGGGCTGTTAACACCGGAAGTGGTAGAGAAATGGCATTAGCAGCACCCGGAGACTGGTGTCAAATAGCATAGTAAGGTTCCCAGCCCATGGATTCAGCCAGCTACCGTAGGTGTGTTGACCTTCAGTGCAAGGAGACTGAGAACTTTCTGGCCAGGGCTTCCTGACAGATTGACAGATTGAGGTATCTCTGAGTACTTACTGCTGGAGCTAAAGAGCTTTGTTAAAACATTTACCCGAATAGGGCAAAGTCCAGGCCTAGAGGCTGAGGCCTGCCTGCCTACTGGTATTGTTGAAGAGAAGCTGTCCTGATTAAAGAACTGTATCCTGAGTCATTTCTGATCCTGAAATGTAATGTTACTTCCCTAATAAGCCCTTTATTTGTGAATATTGTATGTGAATTCTATATGTCTATATAGAATGCCATCAGTCCTTGAACCCAGCGGAGAAATAGAGTGCCTTGGGAGGGGCCACTGGTGTCAGATTTAGTAAAAAGCTTGAAGAGAAGAATTGTGTCTGAGCTCATAGGAATGATTCATAGGAATCGGCCTTGGGCTGTTGATGCTAATAATGATCTCTACCTG